GAAAGATATTCGGATGAATGTGTCATATGTACGTACGTTCGAATTTCTTTACAGGCTCCGAGGAAAGCGATTTTGCCGAAACCTTAGCCAATAAATCCCGTATCAAACCCGGAGGCTAAAACAGTAAAGCTGAATATTAGAACAACTATGCCGAGATTAATTAGGAGTCGGTCATGGACTATTCTGAAAAGAAAGCATTTTTGCCCATCCAGAGAGGCCCGTACAACCTCGACGAAAATATCCATCCACGTTGCCACGATCAATAATGACCAAGCTGCAACTGTTAGATGAAAAGCCTATCGATTCTGCTTGAAAAAAGCACTTGGACATTCATATCGAAGCGATTATGTGATTATTGGGCTTCGTTCGCCAACGCAGTGATGTTTTCGCCATGTCTGAAAGAATGTTCCAGCCAGGAGGGCGAACGTTCTTTGGGTACACGGCGGCTGGGACGAGGGTCGCCCTGCGCCTGACGTCAATGTTTTCGACAGCGTTTTACACCACAGCCGTCAAAGTGCGCCCGGACTTGTGATAGGAACGGCCAACGGCGCCTATTTTCCCTTTCACTCTTTCACCACTCGTTCTGCTACTATTCAAATCGCAATGACGAATTCAATCCCGGTTCTGTTCAATCAGATGAAATTAGGAGTGACGTGTGGTTTTTCTCCAATATGCATTTCTCAATCATCGAATCATTCTTCTGAACACGTTTCTCCAAATGTCTTTTTCAAACGTTGCCGAATTGATGACAACAGTCACGTACACGCACAGGATTGCATGTAGATAGTCTCTTTCTTCACGGAAATCACGTACGTTTTCGTAGACGCAAGTTTTCTTCTTTCAGTAAAAGTCACGTATACATGTAACGTTCGTTGCGGGTTCAATGCCAATAGGACGGGCACGCCCTTTTTCTGAATATGGTAGGCGCGAAGTGTACGTAGGGACTGGTTTCTACAGTTTTGAAGTGACGAGACGCTATGGAAGTAACTCACACTTTCCAGCTTTTCATGAAGTCAAGTGCCCCCCTCACCCCTTGAATGGCTACACTCGCCCTGGCTGACGAATTCCCTCGATTCTCGTGACACCATAGGGCGCATGCATAGTCGGTCGCCAATCGTGACGATCGCTCAGCATTAGATACGTATCGATAGTCGAATACTCAGGCAATTCTGACGATCGATACGCATCTAACGCTGTGCGACCGTTATCGGACGACCGATTATGCATGTGCCCATAGGGCGAGCAGCAGTCCCCACTAACACACATTTTGCGCCTACCGTAATCAAAGAACCTTGTGCCCATCCCATATGCATTGCATCGCGTTGCGACCGTGAAAGGTGTCCACTTAAAAATCCGTTCAAAGGGCTAAAGTTCGGGACAAGTTTATCGGGTTTTTTCTGGCGCTGATTGACTGGACAGTTGGATGATTTGAAGTGTAAAAAGCAGAGTGGCAACAGTAATTAACCCATGACAAAGAATGAACCAGTCTCGCCCACCCACCCAGTAGCAGCTAAGAAAATAGCACTGCTTTGGGACGGGCTTTATGGGGGTGGAAACAATTAGTGGGCGTTGGGGCTCAGCCTTGGCACAAGGAAGTGTAACCAAACCGGTAAATGCTCTGCCCTTGCGTTTCCTTCCGTCTTTCTCAGGCAAGCTTTATGTATATCCCGGGCTCCTACTTTAAAGGCTGAGTTTACGCTGAAAAGGCACCCCATTACAATCAAGTCAAGGGTAAAAAGGAAGGAAAAAACATGAGAAACGGCTCTGGACTCGATAAATGATACCCCTTCCTTGCACTCTTGCTTTTCGCATTGATGCGACTCTCAACGTTGTGCTCTCATCAACACTACGCCTCTCTGCTATCTAATCTTTCGCCGCGTATAGAATTGCGCGACGAGTGATTAGATACTGGGTGGGCGTTCCGCGCCAATAGTGAGCCATGCTAGATCGACAAGGTCAAATCTTTCGCTGCCAATTGCGCCTAGGCCCGCATCCCCCCCGCGAAGTCCGCCTGCCTTTTAAACAGTTTTTCCCCTTCTTTGACCTTCGTTCTTATCGTGGAACCGTACTTTAAGTATTGAACTTCTGCAACTAATCATGTTATGCTTAGCATAACTCTCACGTATAAGGCCTTTTAGTAAAAAGCTGGAGTATTTCGGAGAGCTAATAGATTGGGTTTGATAGTGCTGCATTGAAGAAGTTCACCATCAAGATCTGGAGAATCAGTCACCAGCGCAGTGCGCCTAGCGCTCTTGTCTGAGCTTAAGAAGCTATAGGCAATCTTCAAACTGAATAATGTTGACAGAAATTCATGTGAAGTCAAAGTGCGGCTCTAGATTGCCAAAATACAATATACTGTGAATTGCAAGTATACATGCTCCATTTCACTTCTCACGCACTCGCACTTTAATCCTTTGATCTTTTTACAGTTGTAATTCTCGTCGCTCTTGCATACATCTTATCGGTGGGACGCCGGCGCAATAACCCGCACCTATTCAATCGCCAAAATGTGCATGATTAAAGGGCGCCTTTGCTTGAATAGGTGCGGGTTATTGCGTCCGCGTCCCACCCGAGTAATCCCCCTTCCTCCCCTTTCTTCCAACTTGCTCCCAAATTGCTTATATCCACTTCATGGATCACACCATAAGGGAGGCGGCCGCGCTCGCAAAATTGCGCCTGTTCTACGTGGTCAGAAAACTCGTAATGCGCGCTGTCGTCGACCTGTTAAAAAATAAAGTGCGGGTGTTTATGGGGGTACCCTCACTTACCCTCAGAGGTCGAGCTCATGAAAGAATGCTCTGTGAATCGCAAGCCCCTGTTCCATGGTTACGCCTTTAGTCCTGATTAAAGGCACATTTTGCGATTGAATAGGTGCGGGTTATTGCGTCCGCGTGCACGTAATAATGTGATTGGTTCACTAGTAATGGACCGAAGCAAAAATTATCGGCAAATGGTAAGAGTTTTCAAAATCAAACAACTGCCAAAGACCATACTGCTAGGGTTTACGCTCCATCCCTTTACTAGTTTTCATTGGTAAGCTCTTCTTTTTGAAACGGTAAAATACGCGGGAATACGGTCAAGAGGTCAAACCAACCAGAGACTGTTATGGGGGCGGAGCGCTAATCCCGCCCAGATGACCATCGCGATAGTGTTCAAGAGTTCTTAGCAGAATTTTGTTCCGGTGCTATACAAGTAGGGTG